AAGGTGATCATTCGCCCATTTTACATTTTGTGTAGCTTTTCATGTTAAAACTTCTTCAGTTGTTGCCTTGTGACCGGAAAAATCTCCAATAAAAGCCTTGCCAAAGACATTGATTACTAGAGTTCTAAAAATGACTCGCATAAACTCGCATATTTGACTTGCATGATTGTGCATAATTGTAAATTTTAGTTACATATAATAAATAAGTACTTTAAATTAAAGATATGTAGGATAATTTTGACTTGACACTCAACTCAATTTGACTCATTAGGAACACTATTGATTACTGCATTCTTGATATTTTGAACATAATTAGCACACTTAACACGAAATTCACCATGAGCCTATAATTCATTATTATTATTAGTATTACAATTTTACTATAATTTATAAATATCATCATCGGGTAAAAAAATATACCATTAATTAAAGTACTTCTGTCCAATACTTGCTCCAACCGCCCTTAGCATATTCAATTTTTATGATTTTATCAGGATGTTCCTCAACCAAAGCATTATAAACAGTATCACGCATAATATCATCAGTAGGATTTTTATCTTTTTAGAAAAGTTCAAAGCACGCCTTAGTCAAAGTCTGCTAAATAGATAAGTATAATAAATAAGAAAAATAGATTTTAAAACAAGTAATCAAAATATAATAATACTTACATTATACCAAAATGTCTTCTTTCGTGTGTTTTTACCAGACATCTTTTTATAATCCATAAGACATTCATTCAATTCCATATTGAGATCTTTGGATGCCTTTTGTTCTTTTATAAATTCGTTTATAACAGCCTCAATACAAAATACCGTTTCCTTGATCGCAAGAGCTTCATCAAATGCCTTCTGGGAATATTGTATAGCCTTATTCAATACGATAGCATCTTTCTCATTAAGCTGAGATACTACAGTATATCATAGAGAAAACATGATCCATTAACATAAGCCTTTCGAATCTATGAAGATATATGGTATTGTATAATTTTGTCAACCATGTAAAAAGTAAAGCAAATATAAATGTGCATCCTGTCTTCTGAAAAAATAATTATGTCAATATTTCTTGCCAAAAAGCATAGCACATTAGTAAATGTGAATGCTTAAATTTTGTTATATCAGAAATATCCAATAGCTTGTCTAGATATCCGAATCATTTCCTGAGCATCAGTCAAAATTTTGTGATGAGTTTTATTATCATTAATATGTCCATAATTTGTATAGGCTTAGTTGTTGCATCACTCTAAGAAAATCCTCTTTACGCTGAGCTTTTATAAGTTTTTGAGCATCTGCGAAGAATATGCAATAAATTAGATTGCACCATACTAACATTTTGCTATATCATTGATATTGACATCGCCCCTCTGCTTGTAACCTTGCTCTTCGATTGTTGATTCACAGCGTTTATTCATTGTGTTGATATTATCTTAAAATATTCAATAAATATAGAATATAATGTAATATCAATCAGACCACATATGAAAACTAAATATGCATCAATGTTATTCAACATTACCTTCGATCCATAAGTTTTATTAACCATAGGCAAAGGGTTCAACCCGTGACTTTTCTTGGTCATATCAATTTTTGAAGTTCTTACATTGAAATCTTCTCTTGCTTTAACCGGTAATTTCTTTAGAGATGATACCATAATTTCTACGGCCTTCAATTGGAGCTCGGAGGGTTCAGAGAGCTTGGAAAGTCCAGAGTCACATTGCATTCTATATTTCTTATGTCCATTGCCATCCTTTTTAGTAGAAAAATCTGTTAGTTATAGTGACCACTGATAATGATATAAATAGCTTTCAAAAATTATATCTTAGCAATAATGAATAAAGTTCATAGAATAT